CGCGTAGGGGGGGGGGGAGAGGAACCAACTTGGGATTAGAGTAAGGTCAAATCTAAGCTTTGAGATTAAAAGTAGTTGGTCAGTTATCAATGACAAATTAATGTTTCTGTTGATATTTTTTGTTAGTCTCTTTAGGGAATGTTTCCTTCATGTAGTCCTTCAAAAAATTAAAGGAGCCTGGGACCTAAATGAATGTAGAGTTCTCTAGAGATTCTCCTTGTGATACAGAGCTCAGAATAGGTTCTGATTTTAAAAGAGCCTTGCCTAAGGGGAAAAGAGGGTGAATAGTCTCTAGTGGAAGAGTTGAGGAGAAAGTTCTGAATTTTCTAGGATGAAGAAGATAGTTTTTCGGTAGGATTCATTCACTCCTTGGAACTCGTTCAGCAGCCAGTTATGGGTGACTGTAAATATCTGCGTGTTTTTCCATTTTGTCATTTGTCAGCTAATTGTTAGGAATGGGGCAAGAACAGCACTTATTTCAGACTTGCAGATTTTGTTGCGGGGGAAGCAAGTAGATGCACTGGGAGGCCTCTGCAGACAGTTTGCTGGAGATACGCATGCTTGTGTGCTGTAGCTGCTTCTACTACGAATAGATTCATCTGGGCAGGAATTCTAGGAAGCTCACAGCTGCAGTATTAGAAAGGGCTCTCTGGCCAAACTGATGTCAAAGATGACCTCCAGAAAGCACCAATATTCAAGTAAAACTTGGCTGTCAAAACCTTAAGAAAAAAGGAGGCTTTAGTGCTAAATGTGTCACTTACCACTAGGTTCTTTCTGTTCTTTTTTGTAACTTTGTAGCTCAAGTCACAAGAATATTAAATCAAACACTGCGTAAGGTTCTCTAGTAGTAGAAGAAGAGATAGTGTTAGAAAACACCCACTTTCTTGCCTTGAAAATAGACGCATATTCTTCTGGTTAATCTTAAAAGTCAGTTTGGCAGGGTAGGACCAGTGTTCCTGGCCTGTATCTGTGAAAAGTTTATTTTGGGAAGCAATAATTTTGGTTGGCAAGCTTTAGTGGAGAGAACTGAGCTGAAAGGAAATTACAGAAGAAAAATTAGCCCCTTAATGTGTCTTTGTCAGCACAGTGATTAGACAACTTGAATGCTCAAAAAAATGCAGTCATTAACAAAAATTCTTACTCCTGTCCTTCTTTTATCAGTTGTAGTTATACGTTCATGATTTGAGTTCAGATGGGGTTAAATGTACCTTTTGCTCTTCCTCTTGGTATTTGTGCAAATGTATTAAATAAATTGGAATAGAGTTGAGTTGGCAAAATTCACTTCTGGCATCCAAATCGGTTATGATACAAGTCACAATGACTTCTACTTTCTTCAGATGAGAGATTCCACGAGAGCGGTTTTGTGTAGCTTGCTAGCTTGAATATCTATTGAAGTGTATCCTATTAAAATTTGGGGGGCTAGTGGTTTCCTTCCAATGCTAAAGATTTTTTTTTCCTGTTTGGGTGTGTTTTTCCCCCCTTTTTTCAGGTTCTTCAAAAGAGATACCCCAACCTTGCTCTTGTAACTGATCACTTGCTAGACATTTACATTCACCTTACGGGAGACAAGTATCAGGCATCCGAAAACAGTGCTTCTGGCTCCAGGCACATATCAGAAGACTCATCGGAATCCAGATCAGAAAATAAGAAACCAAATCTGGAAGGACGAGAACTATCTCTAAGGTTGTGTTTTCTTATATGTTTATTAGAAGGAAATTTAGTCAGCTAGCTGCAGAGACAGAAGATTTTATCTTTGTTATTTTTCTTAATTTTTAAAAAACAGTGATAAAAGTTTGAATAATTGAACTGGAATTTCATAAAAACTGAAAAAATCCATTTTTAATTTTAAAATAATGATTAATTTATCTTAAAAAAACCCCCCTTAATCTGAATTATTTAGGACTTTTTATTTGATATACTTTTTTTTGTGAGGAAAAACCGTAGGTTTTGTCATATGTGGTGCTGAGTTGGTATCAAGCCATATGGATTACCTCTCAATCCATTTTAACATAAAATATCAGTTCTAGTTAAGAACTGTTGACTGAAATGTACTGTATAATGTTCTCACAATAACTAGTAGATAGTGTTCTCGGCAATTGTGTATATTTGCTTTTCTAGATAATCTCGTATTAGATACTCAGTGTTCTAACTTACAGATGACTGAAAATAACCAGATCTGTAGTGTACTATTAATTCCAGAATTTTTATGATGAAATGCAGTTTGATGTTCAATTATTTCTGCCTCTCATACCAAATGTCAATTCTACTCATGTTGAATTTCTGTAACCAATACTGCTTTGTGAATTAGTCAGTAAATACTAGGTGTGGGTAGTACCTAATGTTTTTGTGAAGCACAAGAATGCCGCTAATTTTAAAACAGCAGTTGTTTTTCTAGAATTAGATGTGTTCCTTTTCTTACCATTCAGAAGATTTTGTTGTTGATAAGGAAGCAGTATCTTGAAAAAATAGGGGTTTTTTTATACCTTTCTGGATAAAAGGCTTGCTGCTTTTCATTTTTTTGATTTTATAATTACTTTATGGTTTAATAGAGTATGTATTACTGTCCTGGTTTCGGCTGGGATAGAGTTAATTTTCTTCCTAGCAGCAGGCATAGTGCTGTGTTTTGGATTTAGTAGGAGAAGAATGTTGATAACATGCTGATGTTTTTAGTTGTTGCTGAGTACTGCTTATGCTAGTCAAGGACTTTTTCAGCTTCCCATGCTCTGCCAGGCGCACAAGAAACTGGGAGGGGGCACAGCCAGAAGAGTTGATCCAAACTGACCAAAGGGCTATTCCATACCATCTGGCATCATGCTCAGTATATAAACTGGGGGGGCGGAGAACAGCGATCGCTGCTCGGGAACTGTCTGGGTATCGGTCGGTGGGTGGTGAGCAATTGCATTGTGCATCACTTGCTTCGTGTATCATTATTATTATTATCATTATTATACTGTTACTATTATCATTACTATTTTGCTTTATTTCAATTATTAAACTGTTCTTATCTCAACCCAGGAGTGTTTCTCACTCTTACTCCTCCGATTCTCTCCCCCATCCCATCGGGGTAGGGGGAGTGAGCGAGCGGCTGCGTGGTGCTTAGTTGCTGGCTGGGGCTAAACCACGACAATTACCTATTTCTAAGCAACGTATCTGAGAGCAACACTGTTGGTCTTTATGTGCTCAGCTACTCTTTAGAATTAGCATCCTATTTATATGTGTCTTCCCGTGTACAGCTTGCACAACAACTAAATGTGCAATTACCAGAAGATGACATAGTGACCTAAGCTGAACACGAAAGAAGGTGCTGTGCGTTTTGGCTTGATTGTACCAAATATTCTAATTTTTCTTTTTAGAGACTTACTGAATTGGTGCAGCAGGATTGCTTACAACTTCGACAGTAATTCTTCAGCCATGGCAGTGAATATTTTTCAGGAGGTGCGGTAAGACTTGATCCAGAAATCACTTACCCAAATTTTAGCATTGTCTCACAAACCTTAAAATACACTATTTGGGAATGTGAGATGAGAATTTACATTTAGTTTTATCTGAAGCAATTGGACTGTAGTTGGAATGTTTGTGATCCATCTATCAGAGGCTTTCCTTAGTACTAGGAAAATTGTTTGTAGTAATGTGCTGAAAGCCAGTCCAGACTTAGTACTGTCATACAAGCAGCATGCTGCAACATAATTTTAACTGATGTGAGCTGGGATTGCACATGACTGAGAGCAAAAGTTTTTAAGATCTTTTCTTTTTCTTGTGATATGAGGCTTCTTCCCTATGCATAATTTACCTTCCAAGTTTGGAATTTTTTGAGTGTGTATCAGTCAGAGGTAGTTTTAAGATGCGAGATCTTACAGTGTTACTTCCTTCTGCATTTTGATCCATTCATCTGAAAATAGCTTCTGTGACTGGGCACTGAAAAGTTTTTACCTTCAGTAGATACCCACTATACTACAGATTTTAGAAGTTCTTATTACAACCTTTTGAACTCAATTGTTTGACTTGATCTGTGGACAATGAAATAATTTTATTTACCATGGCTGGACTGGATTCAGGCTGATGTAAATTGGTGCTTGTCAGATCATATCATACAAAATTTGTATTGAAGAAGTTGGTTTGTTTTCCCCTTGGCAGGCACTGGACTGTTTCACAGCTATGCTGTCCAACCAAGGGAGCAGACAGAAAATGGCAAAAGTTATTGGTAGTAAACTAAACATTTCCAAGAAAAAGGTATGTTAGGCTATAATTAACATGATGTTTATTGGTAATATTCTATAACTTGCAACTTTTCTAGTGATAAATTTAAATGTGTTCTGCTATTTTTCTTAAAAATTATGCCCATCTCTCTGTCCCAAACACTTTTTTTGCTCTCTGTACTATGCCGGGATCTACATTTTTGTCCTGTTTTACTTTCAGCTGTGTTGTGGGGTTTTGGTGGGGTTTTTTTTTTCCCTCTGAAAGTTCCAGTGACCCTGTTTCAGAGCAGATTGCAAATGGCCTCATCATGTAAAAGAAGGATCACACAGCTGGAACAGCACAGTTGCCTAAGCACATGATACTGCTAGATGCACAGAGTAGTAAAGAATGTGTTTTTTCTTTGGTGGTTACAGTGAAATTTAATCACGTAAATGAAGAGATCAGAGAGAAACATAATCTTCCTTACTACTTGTTCTGTAATCTTTATTCCATAATCAAGTACCTCTCTAGAGGCTAGTAACTCTCCATATATTAATTGTGTGTTATATAAATGGCTGAGTTAGACAAAATCATTACTTTGTCAGCTATTTCTGACTATAGAGGTTTGATTGCGAAGAAAATTCCCTCCTTTGTTACTTTAAGATGGAAAAACTTGCCAGGTGGGTGGACAGATGGATCCCTGAAACTTCTACTGATTTTTCTGTTTCTCCTTCTTCCTTTGCATTATTTCAATACAGAAATGTATTATTCTCTGCCAATGGCAGAATATCCTTGTTTACACAGAGGTATTCACCAAGGTTTTTTTGAGGGGAGGTTGTTTATTATGAGTTAGGATAACTGTGTCCAGGCTCAAGTTTATGTAGTTGAACTGCCGTGGAAGTAGATGAAGTAGAAATATTGCCAAGTTGTTAAATGGAAAGACGTTGGCTGTAGAGGCAATAACGCTTCTGAGGTCCTTCAGTATTTTAGGTGATGAGTATGTAAAACCTGCAAATTATAAAATACTGTCATGAAAAATTAGCTTGCTGCAAAGTAACACTGGTAGCATAGCATGGGTGTTCTTAGTGTGATGTTGTAGGCAACACTAGTATTGGAAATGTTGTTGCTTTCTTCATAGGTAGAGTTCTTTTGTGAACTCTATAAACCAGAAATTCTAATACGGGAACAAGAAGTCTCTGTCGGAAGAGTGCATCTCGTGAAGAAACAAACCCAGACTCTCACTGTACAAAGGTAGAATATCTTGTAGTTTTCATGTGAATTGAAATATTTGATGGTGGAATAGAATAGGTTGGAAGTCACAGGATTAAAAAAAAATGCAAATTGTATATTCTCATTCTAATGAAAGGAATGTGATGAGTTCTTTGTCTTGTGATCTGAGTTTTACCTTGTGTATCTTTAATGCTGTCTGTATCATACTTCTGGCAGCCAAAGCATCGAGATTTTTCAGCTTCTTTTGAACTAAGTTTCTTCAAAGCAGTGTGGATCCACAGCTGTATAATAAGATTTTGATGAATTTATCTTTGTAAAGGGAGATTTTTGTAGTATGTGGCACTAACTCCACTGGCCAAGAAGTTCTTTGGAAACCCTGAACTTCTAGGTTGTATCTTGAGAAAAATAAGTACATTACAAAGGTATCTTGGAACATTTTTTCCAAACCTAGATTTTTAATTAAAAAAAAAAAAATCCTAAATTCAACCACTCATCTAAAAAAACAATTAAAGTAAAATTTAAATGAATTCCTTGATAAATCTTGGTTTTGAGTTGCTTCCCTTGTTTTTTCAGAGTAAAACAAACCTTTGCTGCCACACGGCCATCTGCAGTATTGATTGAACAGCTTGCAGTTTGTGTTGTCAAAGGAGAGCCTGTGCTTTTGGTTGGCGAAACAGGAACTGGCAAAACCTCAACTGTTCAGTACCTTGCTTATATTACAGGTAAATAAAGTGTGAAGACTAACTTATATGAAGATGATTTTAAAAAACAACAAACAAAAAACCCCTACAAGTTCATGGTGCTTTCTATTTCTGTTTCAAGGACACCATTTGAGGGTTATCAACATGAACCAACAAAGTGACACGGCAGATCTATTAGGGGGGTGAGTCTGTCCTGCATAACAAATCAGCAGTATCAGAACAAGCTTCTAATGCAAGTATAGTTGTGTTGTCAAATAATTGTTTTTAGACACATATCTGTTTCATAGTAGAATAAATATCTTAAGAAACGTGTTTGCATGCAGAAACCTTGTTGTCCTTGCTGAAGAACAGAGGCAGTTTCAATGAATTGTGTGCATATCTGTACGTGATGAAGTCATTTAAAAGCACAACCAAATGTCTCTTTAAAAATGGCCAAGCTGTTCAGTATAAATATGATATAATATTCACTGGACATACTGGTTGGTAGTAGTAAAAATATTTTACTTGTCAGAGTGGTCCTATCTTTATAAAATTGCCTCAAGGTGCATTTAAATATGTGCAATTTTACTTTACTTTTTAGTTGAGTAGAAAAACTATGGAAACCAGGGTTCCTTCATGCACAGTGTTGTTGTTTTAGTAACTGGTTTTGCTAGTTCACAGATGCTGGTTCCTGTTCATGTGTCACAAATAAGTAACTACTCTTTTGATTCTCTTCAGTTACAAGCCTGTGGATAACAAGCTGATCTGGCTACCTCTGCGAGAGTCTTTTGAAGAACTCTTCTCTCAGACATTTTCTAGAAAGAAAAATCAGACATTCTTGGGACACATTCAGACCTGCTACAGGCAGAAACGTTGGCATGATCTTCTAAAACTAATGCAGCATATTCATAAATCTGCTGTTAGTAAGGAAGCAAAAGAAAATGCATCTGGTGAGAATGCAGACTGATCAAACACACATCATTAGCGGTGAACCATTGCAGAGAGTAGATAAATAGTGGTGAAATTTTTGTTTGTTGATTTTTGGGGTTTTTTTGTTCCTTTCATCCCTCTATTACTTTCTTCTGGTTTTGAAAAATGCGATCTCTGGCTATGTCTGACAGAGTGAAGGTTGATTTGTCTGACATATGGTGCCCTTGACATCTGATCTCCACTCAGCACTTACTTGTTTACTGTGTTGGTGAACAATCCTAGTTTTCCCTGTGGCAGTCTTCCATATGAATGCATTCATACTTTTTTTCAGTCCTGGAACCTCATTAGGTCTCACAAATATATCCTATTTTAGAAACAAAGCAAAACAAAACAACAGGGGGAAAAAAAAAACCCAAACCCAAAGTAATAGCTCTCTTAAGGTACTAATGACTTTCTAAGCTTGCTAAGAGCTTGCTGATGACTTTGGTTTCACTGCCAGTGATGCTGACTTGCCTAGTTCTTTATGTTGTTTCATTGTGGTTTTGCCTCCAAATAACAGTTTTTCTTGTTTCATACTTCACAACCCAGTTGGGACAGAGGCAGTATTCATACTTTGCCTTGCATGGAGTGGTTTCTGGTTCTAGATCTGATGGACAAGTGAAGTGGCAGCTTTCACTCAGTATGGGCTGAGTAAACTTAATTATGAACCTTGTCTCCCCTTCTCTCTTAACTAGTTCTTCTGAATATGCAGATATTAAAATAAATACCCACAAATGTGAAAAAAGATGAGTTTTTAAAGACCACTTGTTGCAAGTATTGACAATCCTAAAATAAAGACAAGCTGAAGTCTGTAACTTGCAAAGCTAGCAACTTAAGTCATTATGATGCTGTATATACCTCATGCTGTGACTTTAACTGAAATAAGTGCAATAGTAAATAATGTCGTAACTGATAAGCAACACTGCTTTTACTGATACTGAAGTGTTCATTTTTAATCTGTTCTGTCATAAGGTTTGTAAATTTGGTTTTATTTTTCTGACATGCCCCTCTCTGTCTCTGGGAATTGGAGAGTGGTAACAGTCATATTGGAACCAAGTGAATTGCCAGCATAAGTATTTGTTACTAAGCTAGGACATACTGGAATGAATAGCAAATTATCTGTACCCATATGTCAATAGTGTTCAGCTAAATTAAAAAAAAAATTAGCAAATTTTTTTTTTATAAATTCATGAGATGTCATCTGTAGAACTTGAATGTTTTCGTTGCTTAGCCAAGCTTACTCTTGTATCTGTGCTTGAAACAACTTGATTAAAATACTGTTGTTAAACATGTTTTGTGCTATTGTTCTGATGGTACAAGCTTAAATTTGTTTTGCTTACAGGCTCACTGCTGAAGGAAAAGTGGGAGGCATTTGGTCTTAAACTGAATCACGCTCATCAACAGATGAAGATGACGGAAAATGCTCTTCTCTTTGCATTTGTTGAGGTATTTAGAGATTTACATTTTGATGCTGGGAAGAAAAAGGAGGAGCATTAAAAGACTTTGCAATCAGTATTATATAAATAACTTCCTGGCAAGAATCTTGCTGTGAAGTAAAACTTGTTCCATGATAACTGTGGAATGAAGTGTGCTACTGTCCTGGTTTCGGCAGGGATAGAGTTAATTTTCTTCC